AAATGAGTGTCACACAATGCCACGCCTATGGAGAAAACGGTTAGGCAGCACTTCAGTCAAGTGGTTATATCGTTTTACTTTGACAAAGGCGACATACGACTGCTTGTTTTTGACATTAAGGTATTCCAGAAACAGTGCTGCTTTGCTCAGCTGCCATCTGCTTCCTTTGTACCTTGTTCATTTCCAACCTCCCATCACTGAAAGAGGGAAGGGTGTGGTTGCCCATCAGTGCTACAGCCCTGGTTAATCAAAGCTGCATTAAAACATTGTTAAACCAACTGGTTACTGCTGTTATACTTTAATATAAATAAATATATCAAGTTGTTTCTCCACAGATCAACTCTGTACTGTGTTAATGCCAATGCTGATAGAGATAGGATAATTAAAGTTGACTTAATTTAAAAACGTACTCGCTTATATATATATATATATATAATATTAGAGCTGGGCGATATGAGATTTTTTCATATCACGATATGTTTTTTTCATTTCAGGCGATAACGATATCTATCACGATATAAGCCAAATAACTATATTTGTAAGATTTAAATGTGCCGTTGCTCACAAGTAAAATGTGAAATAATCAGCAGCTTGTTTTTATTTAAATATTTATTTCCCATAATAAGTTCAACAGGGTAGATGTACTTAAGGAACATGAGACTTTTTCAGATAAATAAAGGCAAATATTGCAAACTACACACAAGGCAGCCGCTAAAGCGTTTAAGTTTCAAAATAGAACAAACGAAACAGACTAAATTGTCAATTCCACTTAGAAACAAAATATTAATTCTAAAAATAAATCTTAGTTTGTTTTACAGAATAACAGACAAAACTGACTAACTTTTGTCAATATCAAATAAACTGAGAACTAAAAGGAAATTCTCAATCTCTCCTTGTTGTATAGCTGAGCTTTTCAAACAGTTTTAACAGTTACTTCAGTCTGACAAAAGCCGAATGACGAATTAGCGCTTCCAGTCAGAGACTGAGGCTACGTCCACACGTACACGGGTATTTTTGAAAACGGAGATTTTCCGTTTTCGTTTTAAAAAATAATCCCGTCCACACATAAAGGCAGAAATGAAGGAAAACGCTGCTATGAACATGCCAAAGCAGCAGGTGGCGCTAGATTCCTAACCGTGCAGAAATGTTGGCCAATCAGAAGTCTAGAAGCCTCGGTGGGAAAAAGTAAACAAAGCTGCGGCATAGAAGCAGAACCGAGTCGTATGTGTGGAGGGACAGTAACTGTGTGTATATGTAAGCATTTAAACACTGCAGAGAGTAGAATTAACAGTATTGTAGAAATTCATTTCACCGAAACAATAACGTGGCGCACAGCGTGACGCATGCACCAGTTTATTGTATTTCCAGACTTGCTTTCGGCACAATTTACAGTGCACGCTACTCTGTTTTTTGTCAGACTTGAAATAGCCGAAATACCTTCACACTACGGAACTTTTATGGCTCTTCCGTTCGACAATCTCTCCGGCATTGGAACCATCATCGGTTTTCTCTTCGGTCACGCTCGGTTGATTTTTCTAGTCAGCACACTCATTTCCTCCATTACGCGCTGGCTGCTTCCCAAACAAACACACGTGCGGCTTGGCACTTGTGCTGTACGTAACAAGTCACGCAACGTGACGCTGCGGCTGTGATTGGTTCGGCTCTGCGCTACTTAGTTTGGATTGGCTGAACTTTTTTTTTAATTTTTTAATTTTTATTTTAAGAGGACAAGAGCGGCGAGGTCTATCGCGATAGCTTAATTTCTCTATCGAGTAAAAGTTATATCGTGATACATATCGTTATCGTTCTATCGCCCAGCTCTAATATATATGTTAGTATATATATAAGTTTTCAAATTAAGTCAACTTTAATTATCCTAAGTTATATAAGCTTTTTCTTAAACCCCAGTACAAATTTACTCCAAGTTCATCCTATCACTCCTCCACCCACAAGTCAGAAATGGATTTGGAGTGTAGTCTTTCCTTTTCTCTTAATTTTCGTAATTTTCTATTCATCACAGGCTCGCTGTTAGATGTTCACCAGAGACATTCTGCCCACCACCTGCAGTATTTCATCATGCACAGCTAAATCCCTGCAGCTAGTAAACCTGTCAGCCCCATGCTGCGTGCATACTTGGCTAGCTGTAAAGCGGGGGCTGGCTAACGGCTTTAGCAGTGTAGAGCTAAGAGGCTAATGTTGTTGTGTTAGGGGTTAAATCGGTATTATCCTCTCCTTGGTGGACCAGCAGAGACAGAGGACAGACAGGGTGACTGGGTTCATGAAAATAAAGAGAGAGAAAGTGGAATCGGACCTCTGTTCGAGCAGGGCTTTCCTGTGTTTTAATTCAATAACCAGGACACTGCACCAGCAGCTGTTCCTTCAGATATAACCCAAGGTCAGAGCCTACATGAACCAGCGTTACATTACATAATCATTCAGCCGCTTTTACAAAATGTAGATAAAGAAGTAGCTTTGACCCCTCAACGGTAAATGCCAACAAGATATGTTAATAATTAATCTTTTTTCCAGCTCCAAAACAATGGTCTCTTTATTTTTCTTTTTTGTTACAGAGACCTGCTGTGATACTAGTGTTAAATTTAAAAGCTGTTTTACTCACTTTGAAGAAGTGCCTGAGCAATTATTCTTGTGTCTTAATCAACATCAAGTTAGACTTAAACATCACTTTCCCAACTTTGGAAGTTAAATATAAAAGGTTGAACTGAAATGATGTGAGTGGAGTTGACTGCAACATGTTATGGTAGTGCAAATGCAATAAAAGTTTCCTAATAAGTGTTAAACAGGGCAGGGATAGCTCAGAAGGTAGAGTGGTGGCCCCATGATCGGAAGGTCGGGGGTTCGATTCCCCTGAACAGCTACCCTGAGGTACCCCTGAGCAAGGTACCGTCCCTACACACTGCTCCCCGGGCGCCCAGTGGCTGCCCACTGCTTCACTGAGTGAATGGGTTAAATGCAGAGAGGGATTTTCCCCACGGGGACCAATAAAGTACACTTTCTTCTTCTTCTTCTTAAACTAAAAGTACTGACAATGACACAGAGAGAATGAAGTCGACAGGGAGATTTTTTTTTTGTTTGCCACACTTTAACAGTTTGTTATTTAAGTCACAAACAAATATACAAACTGCAAAAAAAATTTAACTAAAAATTTTAAGAAATTATACAAAAAGTTAAATTGTAAATAAATCACAGATATGACACACAACTGTTTTAATAGCTGAATATTCTGGCTTTGTAAAAGATCCCTGAAGCAAATTCAGTTAAATTTTTAGTTTTACATTTTTTTCCAGACAGAGTAGAGGGAAAATGAACACATTTCTAAAACAAATACTCGAATAAATCTGAATATGTAAATCAGTTACCAGAGCATGTTTGCAAACCTTGACAAGCAGTTGGACCTGGCTGATCGAAAGTAAGCATGGCCTCAAAAAGAGAGCTGGAATGCATTATACAACTCCTTTCAAAAAAGAAGTCAGTTTCTCGAGCAGTTCAGGCTGTTGACCAAAGAACTGATTATGATATATATGTTTAAAGATGCAATTAATTAAGCTAATTTGATTTGCTTGAAGTATGTTTCACAAAAAAACTAGTTTTGCCTGTTATGTGGGATGTGTTTATTTGTTGCAAGTAAGCACATTTGGTGCTCCCAAGATTTTTTTCCAGGGGTTTGTACAAAACAAAAAAAGTAGCCATGACAAGTCTCCAAACTACTAACATTTTTCTAACTTTGGTATTTTAATATGTTGGCTTTCCAGCTAGCAGTTAGTGCACTGATGACGTCATGTGAAGTAGGTTTTGCATTGAGATCCCTGGTGTTCATGCCATCTTTTGTTTTTGTTGAGCCCTTAGGGTGTGTTAAATTGGTAAGGAGATTTAAAGCTTTAGGGATTAGGCAACTAATTGATTAATCAGTTGAATTTCTCATGTTTTCAGTGTTTGTTTTTTTTGAGTGCAGGTTAAAACTGACATCATGAACATTATGATGGATTCAGAGTGTGAACTGCAGTTTCATGGCAAATCAGCGACATCTGCATAAGAACATTAGTTTGCTCATGTTTAGCGCCACTCGGGTGTTTCTGCTCATTAGTTGTCAGGCTCAGAATCCCCATCCCCTGTCATAACACGCATCTAGAAGCAAAAAGTAACATGCCGAACAGCTGATAATTGCTTTGTTTTTTTTTGTTATGTTAGAGAAAATCTGGAGAACTCTAAATATATGTGAATGTTAGATCCCCTAGGATTCAGTTAAGAGCTGCATTTATTGCTTAAATCTGTCATTAGTTAACTGAAAACTGGCAATAAACTATCCAGCAAAATAGGTTTTTGTCAAACCTTTCACTTATATTCAGTATTTATTTTTAGATTTTCCATCTCATTTGACCTAAATGTTTTACTTTCTTTAATACCTTCATGCTGCCCCCCCCCCCCCCCCCCCCCCCGCATTTGTACATTTCAGACCTCTGTTCTCTTTCTGTCATCCTGATTTTCATTTTGATTAAATCCCAAATTCATTTAAGTGGAGTCCATTAATCCTCACTGGATTTAATACTGCAGCTGTAATGCTCTGCTAAAGCACTGACAACATATTTTCTGTAGCACCTTTCTTTCTCTTAACATAGTTTGTTGGAATATGAACTCCCCTTAGGACTGTAATTTTTCAGTTTTTGTTTCACAGAGTGTTGATGTTGAATGCTCCTGTTGGATTCAAATAGGTCAAATGTTTCAGCTTTACGCGTCTCTGTTCAGTTTTGTGTGATTTGTTTTCTACACATTCCAGTCCTGTGCAGACAAATGTCTGGCAAGTTTAATACTAATACCTAAATAATGCCCCTTTCTCCCTTCGTTAAGGCTACAACTCCTTCAGGATTATGGCTGTGAAAGAAATATTGTTAACATCTCTTTTAGACTTAAGGAATCTTGTTGCATCCTGACTTGTGTTACAGAGGTTTAATGCCCTCATTTGTCTTCTCATTTCCCCCCCGCAGGCCAGTTATCCTACATGGGAGGACTTTGTATCCAAAGGAAATAAACTGCAGTCACAGCTCAGGTAAGAGGCACATTTTAACCCCTTTTTTGTGTGTGTTTTTAAATCAGCAGCTCATTATTAACATGAAACATTTTCACCTGTAGAGCAGATTAACCTGTAGATGAGTATGGGCTCAAAATGTGGTCATAAATATTTTGTACTTGTAAATCAGTTTTGTACTTGTAAAAAAAATTTGTGTGCGTAAAATAGATTTGTGTGTGGACTTAGCCAAAAAAAACCCCTGCAAGTTACAACTACGAATTTTGACCCTATTTTTCTTCCTTTCATCTGATTGGTGAATGTCATGTCAATCACAAATGTAACAATCCAATCAGAGAACAGATGGGTTTGGCTGTCGGAGGGGCGCTTTTTTTGAACTGCAGGTCTTTGAAGGGAATAAATGCCCTTTTACATGCCAACCCAGCATTTTACTTCATCACCACGAAGTAAAACAGTCTGTGGTCGTCCGAGTTTGGTGATTTTTGTGTCACAGGACTACGTGTTTAATACAGGGACTTCCACAGCCTTTTCACCAGCGCTGCGGACGCAGGGGGGGGGCAGTGTTTTGGAAATGACAGTCTTCATTACAAAGCTTTCTTCGTTATGAATTAGCATAGATGTTTTTATTGAACATTTGAAGAAATAGCAAAAAAACCCCACAAACTCTTGTAGTTCACATGAAGTCAGAGATAAAAACGACAAGGAGCAGGTGCATCTAGTACAGGTAGAGCTGCTGCAAAAACCCACAGAGCCCAGCAGCCAGCAACAAATTCTGGATCCTTTGCTTTTAGTTAGCAGTTAGCATTAGCAGCACATCCTGCGTCCGATGTGAAAGGACTTTTATGCTGCGCACTGTGACTCACAGCAATGGTCCCGGGTCAGCCCTGACGTTGTGTTAAACTAATCCTAAAGTAATAATGGTATTTCTAACCACTGACATACCACAACTTTATCCTTTCAACAGCTGCTAAAAGTAAGGGGACCTAGCTGCTATCGGATATTTATATAGAGATTACCCTTCAAGGACCTGCAGTTCAAAAAAGTGCCCCTCCGACAGCCAAACCCATCTGTTCTCTGACTGGATTGTTTAATTTGTGATTGACATGACATTGACCAATCAGCTTAAAGGAAGAAAAATAGGGTCAAAATTCGTACTTGTAACTTGCAGGGTTTTTTTTGGGCTAAGTCCACACACAAATCTTTTTTACGCACGCACAAATTTTTTTTACACATACAAATCTTTTTTACGCACACACAAATTTTTTTTACACATACAAATCTTTTTTATGCACACACAAATTTGTTTTTACACATACAAATCTTTTTTACAAGTACAAAACCGATTTACAAGTACAAAATATTTATGACCACATTTTGAGCCCATAGATGAGGTCTCCTAACTGTATCACAAAATTTTGGTCATAACCTATTGTATAAAACCAGATATTGCCGTTTCACGCAACGATACTGTTTTCAACCACTCATCAAATCATCAAAGACAAGCTGTTGAACATGTCATAAGTGTGTCACAGTGACATGTTAGTTTTAACAGTTTTGCATGTTTCTCCTCTATTTATTCTCTCACTACAGAGTGTTATATTTTTGTTGTTTAACTCATTCACTGCCATTGACGTCTCTAGCCGTCAGTTGCAGTGAATGAGTCAATGGGTTTAACTCATTCACTGCCAATGGCTGGCAGTGAATGAGTTAATAGTGACTTGCAAACTGTTTTTGGTGTTGGTAAGTAGGGCTGGGCGATATGGCCTAAAATCCATATCGCGGTATAATTTGAAGCATTTGCAGTAATGATATATATCGCAATATATTTTTTCTTCCGTATTTTCTGCACCATAAAGGTGGAATTAAAATCCTTTAATTTTCTCGAAAATCGAAAGTGCGCCTTATAATCCGGTGTGCCTTATGTATGAATTCTGGTTGTGCTTACTGACCTTGAACCGATTTTATGTGTGACACGGCCCTCAAAAATCTATCAAAAATGTTTTAGTACCACTTTGGTGAACTACGAAGCCACACCACTTGATGGATTGCCGGAGCATTACGGCTTCCGTAGTCAGGAGCCTCAGTATATAATATATAATGATGTGCTACGTGATTGCTAGTGACACAGCTATGTTAGCATAACATAAACAGTGAAGCTAGAGGATGAACGCTAACTTCTTTCCACTCAATAAAAGTTAATGTGAGGGTCAAATGCAATCGCATGGCAGGATGCTGTAAACGAACCAAACTTCAGTCAGGACAACAACTGAGATAATCCATCCACAATACGAGGTTAGTTATTAATATACTGCAACAACATGGGAATAGAGCAGCTGCGAGAGAATTCAACATTCAAGCGCAGTTTTTGGCTTTCTTCAAATTCCAAAACGTGCTTCCTCTCTTCACTATTACTGTCGCCTGGCATAATTTGCAGATGATACTGCTTGCAGCTGCTGCGATGCTTTCGACCAAAGCAGGCGCAGCTTGATGACACTATCAACATGCACTTTCGCGGTAGAGCGGTATAGTCAAAATCTCTACCGTTGGCCAAATTCATATCGTTTCTACCGTATACAGTTTCTACTGCCCACCCCTATTAGTAAGGGAAATTATTTATCTTAAAAGGGAAAAAATTGCTAAATGAACCAGAATTTTTTTATATAGTTTAAATATATGAAGGTCATGACCATCCCTATTTAAAATAGGAATGTGACTGTTTGATATCTTTTATCAGTCAGAAAATCTTGTTGATCATCCTGCAACTCAGCAGAACATTGTCAGTTTCCCTGAACTATAATTGGATGGCATGTTGCCAAATACTTAGTCATGTTTTTTCAGTTCGTTTTTCCATAGAAAATATTTGCCCACGATGACAAATCAACCGCATCCTGTCTTGTGTCGTTGTGACATCAGTTTTAGGTCGCAGATGAAACACTAAGAGATTTGGGCTTTTAGAGATTAAGAGACTAAGAGATTTTTAGAGTGTAAGGTAGGGCTGCACGATTTTGCATAAAATGAGAATCACGATTTTTTTTGGCTTAGAATTGAGATCACGATTCTCTCACGATTTTCTTTTCCAGTATAAATATTTATTGCACTTATTAACTGCTCATCAACTTCGTAACAGTTGAGACTGAACATAAAATAAACATAAAAACAACAAATGTCTCACGTTTTGTTGTTGGCGCAAAATGTTGTACTGCTTGAAATTCCGTCTCCACCGTTGCTCGACACTGCGTGTTTAGAGCAGGTAGTGCAACAATAGAAAAATAGTTGCGGGACAGCACTGTGTAGCGTTTGTCTAGGGTGTTGATCATTTTCCTAAATCCCTCGTTTTGCACAGTGTTGATGGGAGCCATATCTTTGGTCAGGTGATAAGTGATAGCCTCCGTAATTTCCACACATTAAAGGCCAGTCCGTGAAAATATTGTCGGCCATAAACCGGTCCGTGGCGCAAAAAAGGTTGGAGACCGATGTTTTAACCGATGCATGAAACTATACATTTTTAGACATAAGTTGTAACGGCCGCCGTTTTCTTTGAGTATTTATTACACGGCGTGCTGCGGAGAAAAGCCTGTTCTAACGTTTGAGTCTAAGGTTTATTTTTAGCACCCGGCGGCTCTTTTTTTTTTTTTTTTACTTCTCATCCGTAAATAATCTGCTCTTTCATGTGATTCAGTTTATTTTGAAAAGTCTCAAAAGGATCTTGAGCTTTATTGTGAAAGGTTTATGTGGAACATAAACAAGCGGACACGCGATGCTGTTACCGTTGTTGTTGCTAACCACAACGCATAAAAACAGGCGCTTGTCCGTCTGTAGTGTGGTTATATTAAATATAAGAGAAAGAGAGAACTTTAAGAAATTAATATAGCCACTACAGTGACCATCAAAACCATGATCAAAAGGGTGAAAAAATATTGCCGTAAACAGTTTATTTTGCGACACCACGAAACAAACGATAGCGTAAAATGAAACTATAGACGTTTTTATATCGTCATCCGATATATATCGTTATATCAAACAGCCCTACTGGTCATTGTTGTATTCTGTCGTTTTACATGAAAGCTGCACATGTTCTGACCCAGGCTAATTCTGTCCAGTAGCTGGCTTGGTTTAATGACAGTATAATTGCTGAATTTCCCAGTAGGCCAGTTTACTTTGATAAGCATCGCTCTGCTTGCTGTAGCCAGTCACAGTCCATTAGCCCTGCCAGTCAGCCAGCTATGCACACACAAAGCTACAGATACAGGCATAAATAAAGGGCATCCACTTTGCTCTAATGTTTAATGCTACTTAAAAGATCAGCTGTGGATAATTTGCACACACAAAGCTTTATTTCACACATTAACTTCACAGTTATATTTATTCATACAGCCACCAATAAAGATTGTTTGTTTGTTTGTTTATTAATTCACTTTTTCTCGATACCTTCTAGCCTCATTAACACTAAAACTTCACCAGGTAGTATTTCATAGCTTGAATTATGAAAACACAAAATACAGGCATGTCATGATTTGCAAGAGGTCCAAAGGCCTCAAAATGGAACATTGTCTGATGCAGTTGAGCTGGTAAAATGCTGTAATCGTAGTCAAAAGGAGGAAGTTTTGACAACAAATAGCTTGAGGCATGCAGAAGAGTTGGACTCTTCTGCATACTGGGCACACATTTAGGATATATGTGTAAATATAAATATTCACTGGAATTCGCATAAACGTATTTCCTTGTAGTACAGAATTGACAAAATAAAGTTTAACTTTCAGGCTGATCATCGAGGGTGATGAAACAGTTAACTCCATTTTTCCTGTCTCTTTTCATGCATGAACTGTTAAGCTTGACTAGCAGAGAAATTTTGCTGATAACAGACATGATGACATAACACTTCTTTAAAAATGAAAGATTCAAATGAGTTTACAGTTATAATAAATATAACAAGTCCGTTTCACTTGACATCTTTTATCAGTGATGGCTCATTGCTGCACCATTTTTAATAGCAAAAAATATGTTTCTGCAGTTGGGCTAATTAGAGATTTCAGCTAAAAAAAACAAACAAACAAAACAGTCAGACTCTGGTCTGTAGATCTGTAGTTTAACTTTAAAGCAGCAGTTACAAGCTGAAAAGACAAGCTGAAGCCTCTCTTAGGCTCCAGTGGGGTTTTCAGTCTTGCTAAAGTATTTGGGACTCTGTGTTTTTCTGCAGCACCACCAGAGTGTTCATTCAGTGAGGGATTTAGATGGAGAAGATCAAATACATATTTGCACATACAGAGCTTCAAGAGCGTGTTTAATTATATTATATGTTTCTTGTAGTCTGACTGTGTGTCTATGTGCTACAACACATTATTGTCAATGCTGGGACTGTTATTAGGTGTTTTTGGAAAGTTATTAAATTAAATTATTGTTAGTTACTTCTGTTCAGTTATTATATATAATTATGGACAGTGTGCACCAATTAACATGTTCTCTGGTTAATGCACCAGATTTATTCCTACCTTTATAAGTCTACTGCTGGTGCATTGATAGGACAACATGCAAAATCATATGGGCACAGCAAATTGGTAAATACGATTTAAACAGTGTGGTATAATAAAATATATTTAAAGGCACTTGAGCACAGACAGTTAAGAAAACACGACTCCAGTTCATGCTGTCTTTTTTCAAGATGGTATAAAGTTGGTATGAAGATGGAATTCATTAAGTGGATCTAAGCATCATCAACTAAAATTAAACCAATCTCTGCTACACTTGATGTAACCTAACTCTGACCATGAAACCACAGCCACTGTGCACCAGTCCAATACACTGTTGTTTACTTTAAATCCATCACAGTACAGCAAACTAACCTGTATCCTGCACTAACCTGCAGAGTGTTTAATGCAATCTTTAAATAACAAAATTAGTCTGTCTCAGTTTGTATAGGAAAAAACATAATGTCACAGATACAAACCCAATATCTGATTTAAAAACATGAGGACTTAGATGTGAGCTTTATATTTCCAGCTTATCAAATAACCACTGAGCAGTGCTTGTATAGCATTTACTATTGTTGTTGTTGTTGCTGTTATTATTATCATTATTATTATTATTATTGTAATTGGTTCATTAATTTGTTGAGTCATTTGACTATTTATTTTTTAACGTTTACACTTTTATTCTTCCATATTTTCTAAAAAGTTGTTGTAAATTGGATTGTTGTCTTCAGCCTATCCTGTTTGTGAACTGCATTGTTAAGTGTGTGTGTGTGTGTGTGTGTGTGTGTGTGTGTGTGTGTGTGTGTGTGTGTGTGTGAGAGAGAGAGAGAAAGAACTCTTTGGTCTTAATATGAAAGAGAATTTCCACTGAGGTCAGATGCACAAACTAGAGACAGGAGTGTCATATGATCTTCTTAGTTTGGCTTTCAGAGATAATGACTGTGTGTGCGTGTGTGTGCATACATGCACTTGCGCAGCTATAGAAGCATAGACCTGACTGGTAATTGACACACATACACAGACAAAAGATCCATTGATGTAGCTGATGTGCGCCTCTCAAGGTCTCCAGTTGCACTCCTAACACTGGCCTTTGCAGGTGATTGGACTCATTTATCTTCACCAGACTGACTTTCATAATAAAAGTGGGGGGGGGGGGGGGTTGGTTTTTTTTTCCTCGAGTAGTGCAGAGGCTTGTTCGGGATGCATCTTCTGATTTTGTGTGTGTGTGTGTGTGTGTGTGTGTGTGTGTGTGTGTGTGTGTGTGTGTGTGTGTGTGTCTTTCAGATTTAGAAAAAGTTCTTATGGTGGCACTTATGTGTCTGATTACCTGACCTATTTATTCCCACTGTTGCAGATTTTAACAGTTTGTCCAAACCCCAAAGGTACATACTGTATGCTGTAGTCACTTTGTTTATGATTCTGTATCAAATAAGCCATGCCTGATACCAGTGTGCACCCTCTGAAATGGGAACTTCTGATAAACACTGCTCAAGTGTGAACTCATTTAAGATTTTGTCCTTCTCGTCACATCTAATTTGTTTGCGTTGGCGGCTTCGTGGTCCTCAGTGAGTCTGAGCGTGACCACAGTTCCAGCCTCATGCAAATGTTCATCAGAGAGTGAGAGACTTTTTTCGTTTTAAACGTTACCATCCAACGGAAGTGTGGACGCAATGCCCATTAAATTGTGAGCCTGTGTCTCTTTGAAACTTGATTGAGACCCGAAGCACAAATAAGCTCTGCAAGACACCTCATCAGTGCGATAGAGCGTATTTACTAAAGCTAGTAAAAATCTAAAAAGGAGGTTTTTGTGTGGTATTTAACTTAATCCATCTAAAGAGTTGTTGGTTCTTTACAATGTCATGCTTGTGCTTTCAACCAGTTGATCGTCTACCTACGCATGTTGCCATGACACTGTGTGTTGGGCTTTTCTTGGAGGAGTTAATGCAGTGGCGTCTTTTGCTTTCTAAACCTGAACAAATGATAGCATGATGGAATGATATTATGTGTACATTAAGCACGACAGGTAACACGTGTTGTTTGTTTCAGAACGACCATCGTGGTGACCGGAGCCTTCCTGGATGCTTTTCAGAAGGTGGCAGACATGGCGACCGGAACCAGAGGTAACCACACGCAGACACACACACACACACACACACACACACACACACACACACACACACACACACACACACACAGTTGACACGTTACTGTCTGTGGCCCAGTTGTTATCATCTTGCTCTGTGTTTTTATGTGACTCACAGCAAATCAAGATAAATGTTTTCTCTCTTTCTTTCTCCTCACAATGTGATCTTTCACTGTTTCTCTTTTTATTATAAATAGTAACATCATGAGGGAGCTAATTAGCGCTGTTAACTCTCCGTGGACAGTATGTGGGTGGGATAGAATATCAAGTAAAAACCATTAACCATTGTGCTACTAAAGGATGGTATGTGGCAGGACAAGCCCCTAGCTAATTGTCAGTACATTGCTCGTTCTATCTGCCTTTCTTTGATGGCCCAGTGATTGAGTGGCAACCTGTCCAGGGTATACCTCCTCACCATAAGTCGGGCTAAGTGACAACATGGCTAATTTTGTGTGTTAAAGAACCTTCGATTGCGTTCTATCAGGCAAATGCCATAAAGTGCTCTAGTTCACCAGAAAAAGCTTTTTACATATCAGGTTATGCTGTTGATGTTAATAAATAATGAACAGTTAATTAAACATTTTTAAGGGCTGTGATTAGTCTGCTGGACATACTCAACAAAAACTTGAACAAAAAGCAGTCACTAATTCAAATCCTACTGTAGCCTGTGGGTGCTTTTCGGTTTGCATGTCCTCAGGTAACATCTCAGGTCATCTGAGAAGTCTAATAATTTTGTTGAAAATGTATAGAAGAAATGCAAATTTGTCTGTAACTAAGGCTGTAAAAGGCTCTGTGTCATGGTTAAGACCATGACACATTTTAATGTGGGATTCTCTGTTTAGTCTCAGCCAAGATTTTGAAATGATTTCTTGTAGTTCTGGTTATTATTGGAAATATTGAATCAGGGAGTGCTAAAGAAAATGTGTGTGTGTGTATAAGTGAGAGGGTTGACAGTGAATTGATTAACAGCCTTTAGGATACAATCTGTAGACAAAATTTGTAAACCGCCTCATCACATGTTTCCTTCATAGGTCACAGATAAACTGTAGTTCCTGCTACTTGAATCCAAGTAGCAAAAAAAAAATAAAAAATGAACGAACATTTTTGCGTTCTGAATCGATCAAAATCTCCAACATATAAGGTTTACGGTTTTTCATATACTCACCCAGCTGGCATAGGCTCCAGACCTCAGCAACTCTGAATCCATTAAGATTGGATTAATGGTTGGAATTTCCCAAATGTTGTTTTTTGCTTTTCTTTGGTTCAGAGAATGGGAAATTGAATAACTTTTTAAAACATCACACAATTTTCTTGGCTAGTTCTGATCTTCGCTATACGAAAGTCCTATTATTTATTTATTTATTTTTAGTTTATTTAAACTGATTTTCTTTGTAAGAACTGTCATTGCCACCATAACCAATCAATGACGTTTGTCTGTTGGAAATTCCAAAATCTGTTCAAAAAAGAATGAGTCAGAATAAATAAACTTTTGTGTTTTCTCTAAATTGGCAGCAGATTACAGGACTTTTTGTCAGTCTAAATTAAAAAAAATAAAATAAAGTGTGATAGGCTACTAGAAGGAATTACTTGTACAAATTAATTCCATATAAACATTATTCAAATATGCTTACCAATAGTGTTGTAACTAGTGTTCCACCTCCCACATGCTTGTTGGTGGGAGGGTTATGTTGCTGTGTTTAGTATTGGTGTGCAATACTGCAGATTTTGGTATCGATCCAATACCCAAAAAAAATACAGAGCCAGTATTGCCAATACCAATACTTTTAACTTATAAAGGCAGCATATGTAGGGGAGGGCAGTGTGTAATGATTTATAGGGTGAATCATAATCGACCACTAAATCACTACGATTTACAATTTCCACATTAATAAGTTAACACAACAAAACACAACTTTCAGCTTCTGTATTTTGAAGTTGGGGTTCTTTGAGACCTGGAATGTAAATGTGCCTGTTTATAAAGCACTTTGGGTCATCTTCTGTTCCTTAAATGTGCTAATGGATTTAAATAAAATATACAGTCAACTCAAAACGTTCAGATCTTTTTTTGGTGCATGTTTATGGTATATTTTTTCATTTCCTAAAAAATAATTTATTTAACACAATTCAGTGGGCTACATGCTGTACTTAGAGGAAAAAAGTAAAGTATCGATCCTGTCATGATGGTATGGATCCAGTACCAATACCAGCGTTACTATCATGTCTGACTTGTAGATGTTGGAGAACGGTCACTTAAACAGAAATTACAGCATCATGAATTACAGAAGATAAACTTGCATACAGATTAGTAGAGTGGTGAAAATGTGGAAGGTTTTAGATACATTCCTCTTGACTTGCATATTCAGTTTTTCCAGTAGTGTCACACTACAGTCATTCAGTGGTAGACCCTAACATGCCAAGAGAAACTGCAGTGTGCCAAGAAGTCGGGGCTTGATTGCAAGCTAGTAAACATGGATGCTGTAGGTTTTCATTTTTTTTCTTTTTGTAAGACCTTTGCAGGTGGCTTATGGCCTAGAAAATAGTGCAATTCATTGATCCCCCAGTGAGCAATGTTGAAGCATAATTTTAGTTTACAAGAAGACTTCATACAGCCTGCCAACTCATTCAAGTTTGTTTAAGAAGGCACAAAATGTTTCAGTTCAGGTTGAGAGAATTGTTAATCAGAACCTGTTTGGTACAACATCAGAAGTCTGTTCTGCCTTGTATAATCTGTATCTTGGTATTTCTGAACTTGCAACAATTATATGAATGACATAATCGGAGGGTATTCATAGTTATTTTATATATTTATATATTTTATATTCATTTTCACTACAAAGCTTGTGTTTTGTTTATTATTTCAGACTAAAGAATTTAGAGTTTCTAACTGTTAGTGATGCCGCAGTGTTTGTTTGAGTCTGGAAACTGAAGAGGTGTCTGGACTCGGAAACTGCTAATGATGTATGATGTAAGAAGCAGATGGTCACCTGCTCACCAACTTAGCCGGCACCCGAAATCACGTGCTGTTTAATGCAGCCCTAGAAGAAGGACATTACTCAGCAAAATCTATCTAGAAGAAATAGATTTTGTAAAAAGTTTTAAAATGTGAATCTGTAGAAATGTTTTTACTGTTTATAGCTATAATAGTTGTCTCTGGATCTGTAAGGGTCTATCACCCAGTCTGCATTTGGTGCCACATGACTGAGGGTTGGGTTGCCTTAGGGCTGTGTGATATAACGAAATATACTAGATGCCAAAATTAAAACATCTATCGTTTCATGTTACATGCTATCGTTTGTTTAGTGGCGTCGCAAAATACACTGTTTACGGCAATATTTTCTTTCATTGTTTGGTCACCATACAGAGAATAACAGCATGGCCAGTGAAGATGAGGCAGAACCAGGTAGCTCCAAACAGAAGGACCAGTCAAAAGAAATCGAGGACCTTATTCCTAAGCAAGGGGCTACCTCTGTAGCATTGACATGGTTTGGTTATGAAAAGTCTGACATGGACCAGAAAACTACTATGCAAATTATGCCGCAAACCGGTCAACACCACAGACTCAAACATGACAAACCTCTTCTACCACCCACGTGAGAATCGCGTGAAAGTGTATAAAGAGAGTTTATGGATGAGAAGCAAATAAGAGTGGTCAGGTGCTCAAAATAAACCTTAGACTCAAATGTTAGAACAGGCTTTTCCCCCGCAGCACGCCATGTGATAAATACTCACAAAGAAAATGACAGCTATTGCAACTTCTAAATATATACTTTCATGCATCGGTCAAAACACTCGACTCCAGATAAACGACGCCCAGATGAAAACACTTCACGCAAGTCGAGTTGCCCGAGTTTCACAGAATTTACAGAAAATGCACTATTGTATGAAATATATCGTTATCGGGATGAAAAATGTCTTATATTGGGATATGAGATTTTGGTCATATCGCACAGCCCTAGGTTGCCTTGTTTGCAGTCAATCAGCCTCTGTTTGGCTGCTGTGGAGATCTCCAAAGAATGTCTTTTCCTGTTGTTTCCCAATCTATATGTTGTCAGGAGGGAAGGCAGGGACCAGCTGTTGCCCTTTTAAGATGGACTTTACATCCAATACTTTGTGCCAGACTCCTGTGTATCCCTCATCAAATCATCCACCTGTTTTTTTTTTGCTATTTTATGTTTGTTTTTCAATTAAAATGGGCTATATTTATATTTAAATTTCTTCTAAAATGTCTTATAATTCCTAAATATAAAATAATTCGGAGCTCACCTCAAGGGCTTTAGGAATGTCACCATAAGTGTAATTAAAACAAATGGTATTTAATTCACTTGCACTTTGTTCATCAAGAAAATGGACATACTAAACATCCAAGTCAGACCCCCTGTTTTAACTATATTGACCACGCACCCTTTCATGCTTTTGTGCATGGTCACACCTCCCAAAGGAAAGTGTTAATTTAATGAGTAGTCATGCTAAATAAATGAAATTATAATTACTATCCAAATTATAAAAATTAATTATATTTTGTGCCGTAATCAAACCTTGGTTCTTGTTTGGCACAGCGGTGGATGTAGGAAGGTTACCATCTGTTGGCACTTAGTTCAATGTGAAGCTGATATAGCCTTCACACACTGCGCGTTGATGAGACGCATTCCTCTGTTGTGCATGCGCGCGCATCTGCATAGTGTTTTGACAGCTGCCTCATCCCCCTCATTCTCTGCAGTCTCAACTCAGCTGTCCAGTGTGTGAGAGAAAAGGCAGACAAAAGAAAAAGGAACAGCTGACTTTAAGCAGGGCCAATGCATTTAACACACACTCCTACACATGTTCACTTTTAACACTGGCAAGTCCTGGCATCTTGTAAATTCCCTAATTGTTTTCTCCTTTTCAGCCCCTTGAATTGCCTGCAGGGGACTACATGTATGTCAGAACTGGTTTGGCGGGTCTATGTGTAGGCACTTTGTTTGCTTTTCTTGGTAATAC